GAGAATGAAATAGAAAGAAAAAAGAAAAAAGAAAAAGAAAGCAAGAAAGAAAGAAAGAAAAAGAAAGGAATAGAAAGAAAGGTTGAGTTATGAGTAAATAATGAGTGAAATGATGGCAATGAAAGAAATTATTAATGAAAGCCTGGTAAAGTAAGAATGAAAGTCAAGAAAGAAAGAATTAAAGAAAAATAAAAGGGGAGGAATTCAGAAAGAAAAAAGACACTGAAGGAAAGAACAAAACGAGAATGACAGAGAAATGCAAAAGTAGAATGAAAAGGGGGAAAACAGAGAGAGAAGGAAATGCAAAGATAGACTAAAAGGGAGAAAACAGAGAGTGTGTGGGGGAAGAGAAATGCAAAGGTAGAATGAAAAAGATTGTGAGTGAGTGTGTTAAAAAGACCTGAAGAATGAAAACGAGAAAGAAAAAAAAAAAGTGTCTTTAGGTTCCATAATAATAAGGATAAGAATAAGAAGCGTGTATTAATTCAAGGTAAAGAAGCGACACATTAAAATGTTTCGTCACTTCACAGCACTCCACCTTTTTCCCGAAAAGAAGAAGAAAAAAGAAGAAATAGGAGGAGGTATTTCATTCACTTACGCTGTTCTTAATGAAATATCATAAACAAACACAAACAAATACTCACATAGTTCCATTGAAGCAAAAAGAAGAGGGAATTATCCAAAACGACATTGGTAAACTGGAATTGAACTAAGAACAAGAAAACGACACAAAAAAAGGTGTGATCAACAAAAACAATACGAGGCTGAACAGTGAACACCAGCAAACAATGACAAAAGAAATAGACCGCCCACTTAGTGCGTGTGCATGTGTGCGTGTGTACGTGTGCGTGTGTACGTTTGCACGTGTGTGTTTTTGCGCACGCGCGCTTAATGTCTTTGTCTTAAAAAGAAAACACCATTTGTCGATAAGAAACGATGTAGGGATATACGAATACATTGAATGGATGTCTGTTTTCTTTTAAACGCGTAAAAAAAAAATCCACTGAATTTTAAAAACAAGAGGGTATTTTATTTTTATTTTTTTTTAATTTTTATTTTCACAAGATATTCACTGGTATATTTTTTTTGTTTGTTTTTGTTTTGCTGATTACATCAAAAATGTATCCTGAAATGCAAAATTTGAAATAGGGATCTTTCGAAATATTCGAGTGATCGGAATTTTATATCGCGCTGTACATCTATTCATCTACAATAAAAACGAAAAAAAAAAAAAATGTTTAAATTAAGCGAAAAAAAAAATTCGTTTCTCTAAAACAAAGGATCGTACACTTTAGTCGTTTATTTAACTTTTCTTCTTTTTTTTTTTTTTTTTTTTTCGGAAGAAAGTAAAATTATTTTTCAAGGAAGTGCTTTCTATCAAGAAGAAAGAAAGAAAGAAGAAAGAAAAAGAAAAGAAGAAAGAAAAAGAAAAGAAGAAAGAAAAAAGAAAAAACATAAGAGGAAAGAAAAGAAAGAAAGAAAGAAAAGAAACATAAAAGGAAAGAAAAGAAAGAAAGAAAAGAAAGAAAGAAAGAAAAGAAACATAAAAGGAAAGAAAAGAAAGAAAGAAAAGAAAGAAAGAAAGAAAAGAAAGAAAGAAAGAAAGAAAAGAAACATAAAAGGAAATAAAGAAAGAAAAGAGGAAATAAAGAAAGAAAAGAAGAAAAACAAAGAAAAGCAAAAAGAAAAAAATGAAAGAAAAGAAGAGAGAAAGAAAAAGAGAAAGACAAGAAAGAAAGAAAGAAAGAAAAGAGGAAATAAAAAGAAAAAAGAAACGAAGAAAGAAATAAAGAAATGAAAAAAGAAAGGAAGGAAAGAAGAAAAATTAAAAAAAAAAACAGAAAGAAATGGGAAAAGGGGGGAGGGAAGAAAGTGAAGAAGACAGGGCAAGAAGAATAAAGGTGTCTTTTTTCTCTGTAAATGAATTAACAAAAACAGTTTAAAATATTTAAAATCTATAATCAAACAATTAGCACTATAGATTCTCAATGACCTAAGACTAAAAACTGTTTCTCTTATCAAATGTTGTTTAATATATTCCACATGTACGTATTACAGACATTTCTATAAATTTTACCTGCAAATATATATACAGACATGCTATGTGCACAAGTGTGTTTAGAAATATATAGTTACACACTATATTACAATGATGCATATATACAAACACACACACACACACACACACATATATATATAACTTTTAAGAATAGTAATTGTTGGTTATTGGAATTCATTCCGTATATACAAATATATATATATATATATATATATATATATATATATATATATATATATATATATATATATATATATACATACACAGATAAAAAAAGAGATACATTTTTTAATGGATACCCATGTATAAATAGACGCCATTTTTTTTCTTTAATTTAAACAGTTTGTATTACGTCTACCGGCGTGCGCGCTGGTGAAAACTTAATGTGTTCTCCAGGATGGTACGGACCTGCTTCCCGCTAGTTAGGAGAAACCACCGTTTGATCCTGCGTACCTTAGACTGCTCGACCGCAGAGGGCGACACAGCTTAGCTTGCTCTTTCCTGAAATGCACACTTCCTCGTTCAGTTATTCTCAAAAGCCAATATTTGCTCAGTATCCGGAAGGTAAACTGTTGCGGCATTGTTATGGCCAGAAATAAAGACACAAAGAGAGGAACTGAGTTAAACAAATATATTAACAGAAACAGTAATACAAACATATACAAACGAAAGTGTTACAGCAAGAATGTTCGGTTCGACTGTCAGAGCTGACTGTTGGAAACTTCTCTTTCTAAAAGGCAATACCTGCTACTATTTATAGCTGGGAGAGTCCATGCCTGCGTAGGTAAGTTACCATAACAGACAGACAGATAGATAGATGATATAGATAGATAGATAGATAGATAGATAGATAAGAACCGAATGATAAATAAACATAACAGTGCTGTGGCCTTGTTAGGGCTAGAAATAGGAACTGAGTTAAACAAATATATTAAGAGTAATACAAATATATACAAACGAGAGTGTTACAGCAATAATGTTCGGTCTGACTGTCAGAGCTGACTGCTGGAAACTTTCCTCACCAAAAGGCAGTACCTGCTCCTATTTATAGCTGGGAGAGTCCATACGCGCGTGGGTAAATTACCATAACATAAACAAAGCAATTTTTAAAGAAATAATGCATTTATTTTTTTTACTCCAACATGTTTATTACTTCAAACGTTATTTCTAGTGGATATCAGTGTTTGAAATAGATACCCCGTTTTTTTTTAATTTTATTTTAAATAATGTGTATTACGTCTATTGGCGTACATATTTTCTTTCTCAAGCGCACAGGCCGAGAAACGCAATACAAAGTTAAAACAGGAGAAAGGACAATAAAAGAACGGGTTTCAGCAAGACAGAAGATGGTAACTGATATTACATCTAAATTTTTGAAGATCGTTGTTGGCAGGGAAGCAAGAAAGCAGGTGTTTCCACGGACAAAAGGAACTATTAGAATAGAACTTGCGGTTGCATCCTGTTATTTCCACAGTAAAATGATGAGACCTAATTGCCAATCTCGCTGTACGCTTAAATTGGATTTTGTCACTGACGAGTGGACGGACAGGTTCGACTATGAAACTATAATTAAAATATACATACATACATATATATATATATATATACACACACACTCTCGCGTGGCCATGTGTGACGTCATGAAATGCGGTGCGATTTTTGCTTCTAGCGTCTTATATGCACGTGTTTATCGTTGCTAAGAAATCATCTATGTAAACGATGACAGACTATCATCACTGTCGTGTCCGTATATTGTTTAATATGTTTGTAATTTACATCTTTGATAATGGCTTATGTAAGCCGAAAGCTTAATTAAAAAAATATGGATCAATATTGTGAATTTCTTTCTTCGTTTAACGATAATGTTATTAAACTTATCAGATGTTACGAAAAAATTTAAATAAAATAAATAGACAACACTTGTCTATATTATTTAATGAAATGTGTATGAATATATACATACATATACACATATACGCATAGACATATACATACATATACGCATAGACATATACATACATATACGCATAGACATATACATACATATACGCATAGACATATACATACATATACGCATAGACATATACATACATATACGCATAGACATATACATACATACACGCATAGACATATACATACATATACGCACAGACATATACATACATATACGCACAGACATATACATACATATACGCACAGACATACATACATACACGCATATACATACATACATACACGCATATACATACATACATGCATACATATACATACATGCATATATACATACATGCATATACATACATGCATACATGCATACATACATGCATATACATACGTACATATATATATGAAAGTGAAGGGAGGAGAGAGAGAAAGAGAGAGAGAGAAAAAGAAGCATCAGATGTGGCAAGAGTGGCCGTTCATTGCACGATTTGTTAAGATTGGATCAAATCGAACAATTCAGCCGGAGACACTACCGCCCTCTTTCACGGGGCATCCAATGCCACCCATTTTAGTAGCGAATATGAAGAAATAGATATTTAGCGTATTTACGTCAAGCATTTAATGTTATGAAATATCTTGTTACGTTGTGTGGGAAGCGGAACTATTTCGGAGCTCTAAGTGGAATCGAAGAGCCGGGTTCAGATTCCAGCTTAGTCTGTTGTGTTCACTTTCACATTGACATCCATTGAAGAGGTATGAATCGATCCCCACACCCACAATAGTTGTTTAAATAGTAGAGTATACTGGACTTTCTACCCTGGGATGGCAGTCAATGTAAGAGGACAACTCTGTACTAAAAAACTGTATAGAAGACAACGGGAAACCACTCTACTAGTCATAGCAGGTCACATATATTGAAGAAAAGTTTGGCTATGCCCTAATTCAGGGTGGTCAAACTTGCTTAAAAAAAAAAGCCACATGCAATAATGTTCAGATGTTTGAGAGCCACAAGACCTGAACAAAACTTCCACCTACGTTGTTTTTTGTTTTTTTTTGTTACATACACATTAAAATTAAACTTATGTTTTAATCCAATGGGGGTTCAATTCATACCCCCAAATAATTATAAAGCTTGATTTTTTTTCTTATTTGCCTGTGATGAAAAAAGAAGCTCAGCCAATAAAGGATGTACCAATAACATGGACTGATTTTAAATGTGAATTAAATTTAAGTGTCTATTTTTTTCTTCTTTTTCTTTCAGATTTAACAACTTAAGTCTTTGGCAATTTCAACCATGAAAAGATTAACAATCAAACAACGTGTTAAAATTATCGAATTAATTACGAAAATGGACATTCAAATTTATAAATATACGACCCAATGAATCCGCTAGCAAAAAATGCACACCAAACAATGACCTTTTGTGGATGCAGTGGCTTTTCAACAATCTTCCTTGGCTTTTCAACAATCTTCCTTGGCTTTTCATCAGCCCAAATGCGACAACTGTGCTTATTAATGAATCCACCAAAATGAAAATGAGCTTCATCACTAAAGAGGATTTTTTGCGAAAAATCTTCATCGGCTTGTCTTTGCTCGTGAACCCAACTGACAAATGTACGCCACTCCAAATGGTCAGATGTCTGAGAGCCGTAAAAATATAAACAAAATTTACACATACTTTTTTGTTACATAGACATTAACATTAAACTTATGTTTTAAACCAGTGGGGGTCTCAATTCATACCCCCAAATAATTAGAAAGCTTGAAATTTTTCTTATTTGCCTGTGATGAATAAAAAAAAGCTCAGCCAACATATTTCCACGAGCCGCATATTAAAGGTTAAAGAGCCGCATGTGGCTCGCAAGCCGCGGTTTGGCTATCCCTACCCTAAAGGGATATGGCATTTGAAATGGTTACCTTCGTAAAATAAAAATGAAAAAAAAATAGTTGATAGAAAAGTCAATTTTTTTTAATGTTCTGAACGTTAATGAATGTCCTCATCAGTGCGTCGAGGACGATTATAGCCTGACAGATTTTATTCTTTCCTCGAAATTCCGCACCAGCCGTGGTTCGCTTTGGTCCTCAACATATGACCGTTGAACTTTGTTTAGAAGCCCCTCTGCTCTGGCCAAATTAGTTTACAACTGCGTGCCTGAACTTGTTTAGAAGTGCGTGTCTGAACTCTTCTTGAAGTCCATCTACTCTAGTAACACACGTTCCTTGATTCCGTGTCAACATCATGCTTTTAAAAATGATTTGCCAACCGGCTGAGGCCACTGTCGATGGTGTGGCGCCTAGAACCAACCGTCGGAGATTAGGATGAGGATGATGACCATTGTTTGTGTCAACGCTTGGGTCAGGATCCAGACAGCCGAGAACAACGACTGAACGTTACAAAAACATAACAACTAAAAATAAATTAAATGCCAAGTAATATTGTGAAGTATTACTGACATGGTTCCCGATCAGTAGTAGTAACGTTTAAACCCCCTAAACCCATCCCGTCTTAACTTTGTCAACATTATGTAAATGAATATGGTATCGTATATAGATAAATAGTAATGGATAGCGGCTCGGACTGACAAATCGGAGAGCCGAGTTCGAATTCCAATCGAGTTCATTACATTCGTTTACATGCAAAGGTATAGGAAAGGTATGAATTCATATCTTCTCTATCCTCGGCAGCTATGCGTAAATAGCAAGACAGACTGGATCCTATAGCCTTGAGTAGCAACGGGTCTAGGAGAAGGGCAACTTAATTCAAAATAATTTATCTGTATTTGGTTTCTTGAAATAGTATGGTTGATTCTGCACAAGCCTTCGCCACTATAAATAAATCATATAAATTCATTAAAAAATATAATTAAAAAAATTAAACAGATAGACATTGTGTTATACCGGAACATACCTATTCTATTGTTAATAGACTCTCCCACAGATAATAATTAGTAGTAGTAGCAGTCGCCAGGGGGTCTCAGTGAGTTGGTGAGTCAGTCGATGTCGGACATTAAAGTATCAACCACCACAACTAGGTTGCTGCGTCATTAACTATTATAACAAGTTCCTAACGTTTTGTACGTCGAACCTTTTTAGGACCGACTTAGTGAAATACAAGCCTCCACTGTGAAAACTACTCTACAACACATTGTCAGTTCTTTTAAATCAAACTTGCCTGGATGAATACTTGCTGCCTAAATATACTATCTATATAATAAATGCGAATGTCATTGTGTCACACTTTTTCAACTTTACTCCTAGAGGCCGTAGCCTAACATATCATACCATTTTAGAATCAGGCCGACTCCGTGAGCAAATTATAATCATTCTCTGCTGGATCCGGACCCGCAATCCTGAAATTTTGGATTCCCAAGATTTCTTGCGATTGTTTTCGGATTCTGCCATCTTGACTGATAAAAAGAATTAAAGGGACACAACTCTCTAACTTTCACTAGCTCATGTTCAATGGAAAAAATTACAGTTTTTCAAAATAAAATTGTCCATGTTTTCAAACTTACCCCTAGATGATGTAGCCCAACATATCATATCATTCTGGAATCAAACTGACTCTGTAAGCGAATTAAAACATTCCGAATCGGATCCAGACCCCACAATCCTGAAATTTGGGATTACCAAGTTTTCATTACTGCGATTTTTGTACGTAAGTTTTTGCGAATTTTTTTGTACGATAACAATTTTATAACTTGGAAATAAATTTGGGAATAATCGAAATTAATTGCGAAATCCAGCGAAAGTCGCCCATGAAATAAAATAATTTTATACAGAAAGTAAGGACCTACGCGCATCAAAATGTCTTTAAATTAATTGACGACAGAAGTATCGCAAAAATTTTAAAAGATAAGCTTAAATATTAATGCAATACCAAAATGCAACAATCAATTTTGAGCCCTTCTCTAGTTTATTATTGACTGTCACATCTACTCCTCCCTACCTATTGTGATGAAGGCTCAATCAAGGGCCCTCTGCAGAAGCAAACTTAAATGCCGCCAGATAGGACGGCTTTTAAGCTACTATAATGTCATACCGTAGATTATTTTAAAAGTTTGTGTCCAATTTTCATTGCCTATATAACATGGTGATTTTTCTAAACGTAGTTTATATGTTGCACAAGACCAAAAGTGTGGGCCACCCAGTGAGGATCGAACTCACTAGTCAGTCGTAATTGTTCTAGAGAGACAAGATTCCTAAGCATTACACCACGTCGAAGTGTTAGTATTGATAAAAAGTAACCGCAACATGACACTGGTGTGTTCTAGATTGAAACTTTGCATCGTTCAATTGCGACTTAGTTGAATGTTGACGTTTTGTCCCCAAATGAATGCATTAAAGATGGAGAATTTGCCATATTACGCTCTATGAGTTTCGGAAATGAATAAGAGTCGAAACTGCGACAAAAAAAAAAGAAAAAAAAATTCAGAAGGTTTATTTGGATCGTTCTCCAGCTCTTCGGACTATCAAAAGGTGGTTCGGCAGATTTACTTAAGAGTGATTTTAATCTAAACGATCAACGACTCCCCGGGCGACCTTCTGACGTCGATGAAGAAGCTCTGCTAGCCATCGTGAAGAATAAAGCGAAGATTTCGAGGGAAGAGATTTTTAAGAGTTTGAAAATCGATATCTCAACTGCCTTTCACCATTTTAAGAGACTTGGGTTCGTTTCTAAACTCGACAAGTGGGTGCCATATTTTCGGATGGAACAGATCGAGCACGATCATTTTTCTGCGGTGATTTCATTGCTGTCACGCTACGAAAAGGAGCCATTCTTGGACAGAATTGTCACTGGCGATAAAAAAAAAAAAAAATAGATCGTTTATAACCACTCGACACAAACGGATGTTGTGAATGTGTAAATGGCTAAAGCGGGATTGCCTCCAACGGAGGTGCTGCTATCCGTATGGTGGGATTGCAGGGGGTAGAATTATTGCGACCAGCTCAAAATTCTCAAAGCGGTTATTCAAGAAAAAACGGCTGATTATACAAAATCGAAAAAAGGTGTCATTTCCCAGCACAACAACGCAAGTTACAAAACAAACCTTGCAGAAGTATAAAAAGTTAAAATAGGAAACCCTCTCGCACCCACCAAATTGTTCTGACTTAGTTCCTTCGGATTTTCATTTATTCCGGCCTCTACAGAACAATTTAAATGACAAAAAATTGACTCTCTACAGCCAGTTGTAAACTATATCACATCAATCATTCCAATAAAATATCAGTCTAAAAGTACGTTCACAACTTTCTTCCAAAAAAAAAATAAAAATAAATAAATAACGAAGTTTCTACAAAAATGGCATCAACAAGCTTGTAGAAGGATGGGGGGGAGTGTTGTTAAACTCAATGGAGGCTATGTATTTGACTAACAAATGTTTCTGTCTATACGGAGGTCGAAGGATGATGATAATGCTGATGATGAATTGTGAGTTCAATCGCTGGGCTGAGCAGTGTGTACTTGAACCCAGTTCTCATTTTTTTTCAGATCTCTACAGAACAACTTAAATGACAAAAAATTGACTCACTACAGTCAGTCGTAAACTATCTCACATCAATCATTCCAATAAAAAAACACAAAGTTTCTACAAAAATGGCACCAACAAGCCTGTAGAACAATGGGAGACAGTTGTTGAAAACAATGGAGTCTATGTACTTAACTAGTAAATGATTTTTTGAGTATGTAAAATTTTGTTTATAATTTTCTAATCGGGTATGAACATTTTGCAATAATTTAATATATATATATATATATATATATATATATATATATATATATATATATATATATGGTTATTTGTTTAATCCTCAGCATCGTATAACTCACATAGAATTCTATCGCTTTCCTTTTACCCCTTCCAACTGGACATTTTGGGGGGGGTATTAGTAAATGTTGTTTGAGGTGGACCCTTATTTGGAAGCTCGTGTTGACAGTGTCCATTTTTATTATTCAGAGAATAGCGTATTTGTTCAACCCCAACAATCTTTCGCCCTGGAGTTCACGACCCTTGGTAAACCGCGTGACAGCCGATGCGCGATAAGATTTTTCCAGTTCCATTAATAATTTCCATTTTATTCATCCTGCCAATATGGGTTTTCCTTAAACGGCATTTTTAATACACACACACACATATTTATTAAATACAACAGACAAATTTTTTTGTATTTTCCCCATTTCCGAATAAGATACACACACACACAGATATATATATATATATATATATATATATATATATATAGGGATCAAAATTATTAATAAACCGACTGAAGTTCAGGTTTGTTCTGTTTTGTTCAAGTATTTCCAACTATCTCCGTCAAGAGAACTATGTGGTGTCTATAAGGTAAGCAAGATCCCTTTTGGCTACATCCTGGTATTATTTATTTCGATTCCAGTATATAACATTCGAAAATTGGAAAAACAATTAAAAATAATTAAACAGACCTTATCTGCTTTATCTAATCAAATTTCTTTGGATCAGTACACGCTGAATAAATAAATATATATATATATAGATATATATATATATATATATATATATATATATATATATATATGTAATCCATTAGTATAATGCAGGCAGAGTCCTATTAACAAAAAAACATTGAATTTGAAATATGTTAAAAACTGACTCACAAAAAAGAGCGATCAATGTTTACTTTCATTAAACGAAGCAACATTTTCTTTACAATTGGAATTAAGATACCTTTAGTTTAAAAATCATTTTCACCTACTGAATTTTAATTTAAAATTCGCAGGATTTTTTCAAACTGTCGACGGTATCAGTTTGTAATAGTATCCATAGTATGTATGTATATATATATATATATATATATATATATATATATATATATATATATATATATAATAATGGTGGTACTCGCTTGAAAAAATAACAGATAGCTCGACTTGTAGTAGAACAAACCGATACCCAAGGAAAAATAAGTAATAAAAAAAAAAAGAAAGAATCAAGAACATTAAACTAAGGCGAAAACAATCGTCCAGAGGTCAAGCTCAAAGTCCAAAGAAAAAAACTTCCAAAACGAATAAAAGGCAACTACGTAAAGTGCTCAACACACGAAGTAGAGCAAAACCTAAGATAATCCTAAACGTATTGCCCTGACGGTCCGTTTAGGTAAAACCTAAGTAGGTTTGCCCGGCTCCTTAGGATTATCTTATCTTTTATATATATATATATATATATATATATATATATATATATATCTCCTTCCTTTTTCTTTACAAAATTTAAAAACATGTATGTTTTGTGTTTATTTATGTGACTTATGATGTACAGAAAATCCTAATACGCAACAGTATGATGTGAACAATTGCAGCAAAATATTCAATGCTTTACTAAGTATTTAAGGATTTTTTTAAATGAAAATCCCAAATTGATCAACTGACACCTCTTTATGATTGATTTGTAAACCACGATCAGTGACCAGCTCAACTTCTATAAACGAAAAAGGAATCTGTGGAGAGCCATGATCGCCTATGATGTGAAGGTAAATAGCGCTAAGAAAATTATCACTATTATTATTGGTGCTATTATCAACTTATGTAATAATCCTTAATACGTGCATACGCATGAGATCTTGCTCTGTGAACGTAAAACTGTCTTTTTCGTAACATAATCACGTTCTTATGATCTTTAGTCTCTCATTCAGTGCCTAACAAGAATAAACATGGAAGCCAAAGGTCCTAACAGTTTTTGCGGTTATAAAGGTCATGCAACAAAGATGTACCTTAAAATATCATAACTGTCGTCGTAGAAGATTATTACCAGAATGTCCATTTAAAAATGTAGCTTGAGCTTGACTCTCAGTATAAGACTACCTGAAGTTTGTATACACATACATCATAATAATAGCTGGCTACTCGTATTCGAGGATCCCGTCTATTAGGGCGCCTAGCCAATCCCTATTGCAGACGCTCGCTCAGGCACATTTTTGTTTGTTCAACACCCACAGAGCCCATCTGTGGTTAATACTGCAACTTTGCTGAGCAGACTTTAGTTACAGTTTCTGGGAAAGAGTCTGTTATCTAGCGTGATCAACAATTTGAACATAGCCAGCACGCTCAATTTCTCTCCACGATGAGTTGTGACTTCGTTCTAGCACACATACATACATAGAGAGAAAGAGAGAGAGAGAGAAAGGAGGAGAAAGAGAAAGAGAGAAATGGAGAGAAAGAGAAAGAGGGAGAAAGAGTGAGAGTGGGAAAGAATCATATACAAAATGTTTATATACCAAAACAATGTTAGGAAAATTAATGACAAAGTGGAAATTTTTTATGTGTGACTTCATTTGACTAAAGTGATATTTACGTTAAGGCAACTACATATACACATGAAGAAGAGGGGGTCGCTGAAACCTTAATCTTCTAAATACAAGATTTAATGAATTTATTTTTAATTTGGCTTTTTTATTTCTTCAAACATTTTTAGTGTGATATCTGTATTTGAAAAGACGTCCCGTTTTTTAGAACAGGGTGACGCCCCCGTTTTGTAGAACAGGGTGACTCTGCCGGAATACATACTTTCTTTATTAAGTTTTTGTGTGTGTGTGTGTGTGTGTGTGTGTGTGTGTGTGTGTGTGTGTGTGTGTGTGTGTGTGTGTGTGTGTGAACGGGCTGGTAGATTTAATAAACAATGTTTAAAAACGAGGCGTCTACTGAAATACGACTATCTACTAAAAAAATAACGTTTTAAGTAATACATTACGAAAGATTCGCTGAAAATGAGCATATACCATAATGAAAAAATACCCCAAACTTAATAAAAAAAAAAAAGCTTTATCGTAAATTTTTTTTTCTTTTATTATTAAGAGGAAAAAACAAAGGATTTTTTTTTATTATTAAACTATTTTTTTATATTTAAATTATGTTTTTGATCCTTCATAGAACGTTCGAAATTTTGAATAAAAATCCTGTTTTTCCGACGTCAGCGTGTGACCATAAATTTAATATAGGGAATTTTAGTGCCTTTTTTTTTTTTTTTTTGCCGTGAAAAATAGATTGATTTGGAAACTCTTGTAAAAATCAAATAATTGGATTTTAATAATTCTTTTTTCACAAATGAATTAATTTATTTCAGAATTTTTTTTCTGTAGAAATCTTGCTAAAAACATTTTTTTAAAACCTGTTACACCCACCTTATTTAATTTTATGGAATTTCGCAAAATTCATTTTTGTACGGTTTCGTGTTTATATCAGACCTTGCAGAATTTCAATGATTTTTTTCTCATGAAACAAGATCCTCAGTTATGGAATATCTGCACCGAATCGTAAAATAAAAATAAAAAAAATACAAGAAAACTAAGACATTATTTAATTAGAAAAGTTTTTAATTGTTTTTATGAATAAGGCACAATATAGACACTATTGTCATAAGAAAAAATTTCGATGAATAATTAATTTTTAGAAGAATTTTCATATTTTATTAAATTTTAATTTGAATAATTTATAAAGTTTTAAATTTATTAAATTTCTTTATTAATTTGTATCGGTTAGGTAATATTATTACTAAGTAAAAATTATGGTTACTAATCATAAATGGGAAAAAAATTGCAATTCAGCGACCCCTGTATTTTGAGAAGAATTTTGATTTTTGTGTGTGTGTGTGTATAAACGTTACGATTTTTACAAATACGGATGTCTATACACGACATTATCAGAAAATAAAAGTGGTGACTAGTAAATTTAAAGCTAAAATAACTAAAATTCAATAAAACATTAGACGGAGTATATTTTTTCAAATTCTTAACTAAACTGAGTAGTTAAAAAAATTATATATAATTATATATAAATAATACAATTATTTTATATAATGATTATATAAAAAGGCACTCACGTTATATTCGTCAAGTAATTTTTATAGATATGTCCCTTGTAGAAAAAAAATATTTCATTTTCTGATTATCAATAGAGCTTTCAACACGTAAAATAAACACCTAGTACCGTGTTAAAAATGCACTTCTGCGTTATTTTAAATTAAAAATATTTACTTCCAATTTAATCAGATTAATTAAACTTTAAATCAGCTAATATTCCTCAAATAATGTTTCAGAAAAGTGTATTTTATTTTTTGAAAGATCTCTTGATAAAGAAAATTATATTGTACTGAGAGATGGCTAAAACCAGCGATTTTTAGAGATCAAAAAAACAAACAAATAAAAAGGCAAAGACAACAAAACCTTTCAATCAATTTAAATTTGGAATATTTTGCTTATTGGAAATATTAAATGTAATCTATTAGCTTGAAATTTAAACTAAAATAAAAGCTTCAAGAAAATGTTTGTTTTAAAAGTTCATTTTAAACTTTAGGTTTCATGTTTCTTTGGCGGTACATACACACATATAAGCGCCTGCACACAAACAAAAGAAGTTTTATTAAATACAACAGACAAAGTCTGTTAAATTTGTCTTTTTATTTAATATTTTTCCCATTCCCGATATATATATATATATATATATATATATATATATATATATATATATATATATATATATATATATTTGGATCAAAAATTGTTAATAAACTGACCGAAGTTCATGTTTGTTCTGCTTTGTTCAAGTACTTCCGACTACCTCAGTCATTTTCAAGAAAATTGTGGTGTCTCTAAGGTAAGCAAAGATTCCGCTGGCTACATCCTGGTATTGTTTATTTAGATCCCAGTATATAACATTCGAAAATTGGAAAACACAATTAAAATAATTAAACAGACCTTGTCTCCTTTATTTAACCAAATTTCTTTAGATCAGTACTCGCTGAATATATATATGTGAAGAAATATAGTTTTTAAGGTGTGCTATATTTATGGGATAAAGTGCTCAATATCAGAGATAGAGGCGTATGTAAATATATATATATATATATATATATATATATATATATATATATATATATATATATATATATATATGGAGAGAGAGAGACAGAGAGAGAGACAGAGAGAGAGAGAGACGGACGGACAGACAATGATAGAGAGATATGAATAGATAAATAAATATGAAGGGATAGATAGATATTTATAGAGATAGATATGAATAGATAAATAGATATGAAGATAGATAGAAATTTATAGAAATATATATGAAGATAGATATCTTTTACTGAATGAGGTTTTTGTAAGGGCGTGGTAGGAGTAAGAAGTGTATATTGTAAGGATAGTTAACGACTGAAAAGGTTATGATCGTAAGATCAGGAAGCATTCTCTCGGGAGTCTATTCTACACTGCGAGAGTGTTGAAGAAGCCATCTGAGTGGAACTTCCTTCCAATGCAATACAAAGCAAATGAAGGAAAAAGGAAGACGGATAAAAAAGGAAAAGCCTTACTAATTTACAAATCATATTAGTTTTAGCAAAGGGAACGCGAATAAGAATACTCAGTAAGAATCGAACTCACTTCTTAGTCGTAATGTTCAACCCAGATAGATCATTACCATACTTGAGGTGACTCTTTTTCATTTAGAAGTCTGAAGTTAAATTTGCCATAAAACCACAAGAATTGAGCATTCGGTGGTTGAGGGGAATGAAATTCAGTCGTCACAATTGATGGATGACTAAAAGAGCTCCTTAACCTTTACTCCGCTTGAGTAACCTGCTATTCGCATTTTTTGTCGTTTCTTTCTTAGAGAGAGAGAAAGAGAGAGAGAAGAAGAAGAAGAAGAAGAAAGGAAAGAAATAAGCACAACACCCACCCACCTTATCGATTCCTTAATTTCCGGTCAAAAACATTTTCTTTTTATTTCTGGGACACCATTTGTCTCTCCACACGGCAAAAAACAAAAAAGAGAAATGTAACAGTCCACTTTAACTTGAGTGTATCCCCACACGTGCGTGTGGAAAGTACCCCCACTCCCCAATCAATTCGGCTCTGTCACAGGCGTCAAGAGATCCCATCAGTGTAATGTGGAGGTGTTGTCTGGGAGATGGATCCCCAGAGACCAGGCATGCTGCATCTGTCACACTGGCGGACAAGACATGACTGATTCTTGTCAAATAACCGTTTCCGAAACACTGTGGAAACGGACACCGTTTGTCACATGTACCTTATTTTAAAGGAACCTGTCTTGGATGACACTAGGGAGGAGAATTTTTTGAGAATATCCGTCTGTGGACACGATTCCAGCGTGCGGCACCATTGGTCAGTGCTTGAAAACCATACCGGAGAGAAATGGGCGCCCTAGTCTTGTGCCACATATAAGCTAGGCTTAGAAAAATACCAGAGAGAAACCGGGTCGCCGAAACTCTAAGAAAGTCGTCAATAATAGTGCCAGCACAAAGTCATGAGTCATCGTGACTGAGGGTCTGAATGTACAGTCCATGTTCCGAGATCATATCACTGAAGTTTGCTTATTATAGTTTCAGTATAAGTCAAAGTGACTGAATAAGCGTCTTCAACAAGGATTAGCTATGCCAGTCCTCATCTTAGTCGCCATATTTATTACAACGTTTCGGCCGTTGTACGCTCCGGCCTTCTTCAGGTGGTTGGAATGTCGAACTGAACCCTTTATTTCGCTCACTGGGGTAGACTGTTTTAGTTCCACGGGCCATGTTTAATGAATGTGTCCTCAAAGTCACATGGCACAGTGGATAAAGACGTTAGTTAGATCCAGTGACAGGACCCAAAGAGTGTGAGTTCAATACCCGGTTAAGGCAGTGGAGAACTTAAGAGGGAAATTAACAGATTACTGACATCCATTAAACATAGTATGTGGAACTAGAACAGTCTACCCCAGTGAGCGAAATAAAGGGTTCAGTTCGACATTCCAACCACCTGAAGAAGGCCGGAGCGTACAGTGGCCGAAACGTTGTAATAAATATGGCGACAACGATGAGGACAATAGTCCGAATAATGTAAATAGTGTACATAATACTTCATCTCAGAAATATAGACAGATACTGAAAGGCCGAAACGTTGTAATAAATATGGCAACAAAGATGAGGACAATAGTCCGAATAATGTAAATAGTGTACATAATACATCATCTCAGAAATATAGACAGATACTGAAAGGCCGAAACGTTGTAATAAATATGGCGACAACGATGAGGACAATAGTCCGAATAATGTAAATAGTGTACATAATACCTCATCTCAGAAATATAGACAGATACTGAAAGGCCGAAACTTTGTAATAAATATGGCAACAAAGATGAGGACAATAGTCCGAATAATGTAAATAATGTACATAGTACCTCATCTCAGAAATAAAGACAGATACTGAA